TAAAAGTAAATCAGAAGGGAATTTATAGTAAATAAGCAGGCAAATTTGCCTGCGAACCTCTACAGTTTAAGGGATAGTATTTATTTATATTTATTTGATTTCTTATCATAATATATTTGTTAAATACTTGATAAATATTTATAGTATTAGCAATATTGCATCTCAATGCAATGATATCTGAAATACGCATTTAAAATATCTTAAATTAGAATGCATAATTAGGATATTTCAAATATAAAGATCGTTTAGAATATTCGCTTGTTTTAAATGTGCATTTCAGATATCCTAGATATACATTTCAAATAATATCTCAAATGAACATTTTAGATATATCCTAAATGCACATTTTAAATATCCTAAATATGTATTTTAAATAATGTCTTAAATGTGCATTTCAGATAATATCCTAAATACTCATTTTGAATATCACAAATGAGCATTTAAGATATTCCAAAAGTTTAATTAAGACTCATTTTAGACTGTTCTAAATAATCACTAATGATTTGAGTTTATTAAATGACAGATTTGTAATTTATATTTTATTTATATTTTATATTTATGTTTATAAAACTTCATTTTTATTTAAATTGTAAATAAAAATGTAATTAAACTTTATATTGGTATTTGGATATTCAAAATGTACATTTAGAATATACCTAAAATGCGCATTTGAAATATTTGAAATATGCAATTAAAATATACCTAAAATGTTCATTTAGAATATTGTCTGAAATTTGCATTTAAGATATCTGAAATGCACATTTAAGATAAATGTATATTTGGGATAAGTGAATATTTCAAACAATTTTTGCATTTGGAATATCCTAATTACATATTTCAGATATTAATGCATTTGGGGTATAATAGCATGCATTTACAAAGATCAAATAAAAATGTTTAATGGTTTTATAAAACTTCAAATTGGTGATTATCAGTTAAATATCAGCAATTGCTATCTTCTCCACTTTGAGAAAAATTCCACGTGAATTAGAAAAGATTATGAATTCTGAAATTATAATTAATAAGCCATTTATAGAGATCAGCATGATTGATTGATGTAAAATATATTTTTTTAATAAAAAAGCAAAAAAAAAGCAAAAAAAATTGTAACTTTGTTTCATTTTTTACAAGAATGTAACAAATTAACCATGATTACACTATTAAGAAAAAATATACCTTTAAGTTGTTTTTTAAAATAAATAGTATAATAAATTTGTAGTAATCAAAATCTTAAAATGATCTTCCTTCAAAAAGTTCAAAATTTATCATCGTTATTTTTATGACGAGAATGACATGCCTGTTACTGGAAAGTAGAAACACTTTTTGGACTATATATATTGTGAATTTAAGGGTTTTGATAAGGCAATATATTAAAAAATACTAATATTCAAACTCTAATAAGGAAAGAAAGCAGCATTGTTGTTCATACCACATAAAAAGCATTCTCATGTATTTGAAATTTTGTTGCGATGACATAAAGGCGTCAATCTTTAAGAGATATTTATAGAGATCAGTGGATACTGGATATTGGCTAGCACTACCTATCCCTAAACCCAACACTCACTATTCCAACTCTAACTTTAATTCCGTATCCATTTGAATGGATTCAGAATCCACAACTATGATTTATTATTTTAATTTATTTTTCATGTCAAAACAAGAACACGCATGTAGTTTTTCTAGCTCTTTGTATTGCCATTTCCGCAGATTTATGGTAAATTTTTAAACTTTGACAGAAAGTCACCATAATATATCACATCCATTCTGTTTTCATTTTAAAAGATCAATAGTTTATTCTCTCTATGAAAATATCGTAGTTATAATTTTAAAAAATGATAAGTAAGTCCTTTAAGAGGAAATTATTAATAATCGATAACGGATCATAAAAATGACAATTAATAGAATTTCAAGGATTTTCAATAAGCGTTATTGACCAATTTTATCATGGCACGAACCTTAAATCTCGTGTTACCAATTTGGTATACAAATGACGCACATAGCAAAAATATTTAATTAAAAACTTTTGATCGACGAACAATATGAAATGAAAGTAAATAATCGTTAGCCACTACTTGTTTAAATTCATTCACGCCGAGATTTTATACATCGTACTAAAATAAATGCAATATAGCGAATTGATTATCTCATAATTATTTCATTTTACAAAAATCGATGAGTAATTATCGTGTCATAATTTATTGAGGTGGGACAAGAATATCGATGACGGAATAAATGAGAATAATGTAAAAGTTTTTCGTTTTTAATATAAAAAGGGTACTTCTTAAGACCAAAAGGACCTTTAAATTACTTGATTAAAAAGTTCCACCTTTAACAAGCTAAATTCACAATGCAACTTAAACATCTCGTTATTATTGTCGCGGCTTTCGCTTCAACGGTTATTGCACAAGATGCAACCAAAAGTATTACGGATAATGTGATGACAAATAAAAATTTGACCACATTAAGGAATTTTATCAGTGCGAATGAAGAACTCTCCAAAGTTTTGGCTGGAAACGATCAATTGACTATACTCGCTCCATCGGATAAAGCTTTTACAGCTCTCGGTGCAAATTACCCAAAAGATCCAAGAGATATAGAAAGCATTGTAAGATATCATATCATTAATAAAGCTGCCCAAGTCGATGACCTTATCCAAACCAAATATCCAAACACATTACTTACCGAGGGGGTTAAATTACCTGATAAAGCAGGTCAGGTTGTTGTGGTTAGGTCAGATGGCAATGATGGTGCTACCATTAGCGATGGTCTCGAGAGAGCTAAAGTTGAACAACCTGACTTGGATGCCAAAAATGGTTACATTCATGTCATTGACACAGGTAAATCTTAAAAAAAACCTTTTAAACTTGATTAATTTGATAAAGAAAATTTTTATAAACTACTTTTTTAAATCCTTTTTTTTTTATAGTATTAATGCCACCAAAGGGTCCATCAGATACCGCCAAGCAAGTTTCTGAATTATCTACCTTTTCCCAAACGCTTACCACCAAGGATCTCATTTCGGATGTTGATAATGAAAAGGAAATTACAATCTTCGCCCCAAATAATGAAGCCTTTGATAAATTATCAAGAAGCACACTTGAATCCAAAGATTTTAAGGATACCATGAAATATCACATCGTTAAAGGTGTTTTTTATTCTCGTACAGTTGAAAATGGTACTAGTGCAGAAACTTCCAAAGGGGAAAAGGTTTTAATCACAATTTCAAGTGGAGAGGTTTTTGTTAACAATGCTAAAGTTGTCACCGCCGATATTTTGACAAACAATGGTGTCATACATGTAATTGACACTGTACTTGATCCAAGAACAACCAAATCAAATGCTGGCTCAATCAATGTCACTCCTAGTATTAGTTTAATCACTGCTATGTTATTTGCTTTTTCTTTTTTAATTTTCAATTAGTTTGAAAGACATTTAATTAATTAATTAATTATTTTTCATATATGTACATGTATTAACATTCATTGTATTCCTTTATTACTAATTATGTGATCATTTAATAAAATATAAAAATATTAACTCTTGTAAACAATAAAGTATTTTGTATATTAAAATTTATATAATACAATGATTCGTAACGTTCTTTTTTTTATATATAATATATATATTTATTTATTTATTTATTTATTTAGCTAACAATTAATGTATGTTCATTAATCCACAAGTCTATTTATTAAAAAGACATGTTATGGTAAATACACTTCGATCCTGGTTCAAATGCAGGAAACAAACGGTGACCTACCAAATCCTGTGAAACGCAGTAATACCTTAAACATTCTCCAAAATGATGCATACATAATCTCTAGAAATAAAAACGAATTATTTAAAGAATGATGTTTAAATAAGACTAAATCAAATTACCTCTCCTTGTGAACAAGGTAGACACAATGATCCCTATGTAACAATCATTAGAAACTAAAGAATTCGGATAATTGATATTACAACAAATTTTTTTTAAAGAAAATGTGACAAGGTACCTCTTGTGGACAAGTTGGGGAAACGGAAGGAGGGCAAGGTTTTACTTCAAAATATTGAATCTCATCTTGATGTTTTATGTCCGCGTCTAGTATAAAATATCCTACAAAATTGAAACGAATGAATTCATGGTTCACTTTCTTCTTTTAATGAAAAGAAGAAGCAAGCTTACCAGTAGTTGCAATAATTAAAACAAAAATTAAAACAAAGGCACACCAAAAACAATTTGTAGGATCATTATCATCATTTAACCACGTATCAGTACCGCAACAATTGATTTTGATTTTTTTAAATCCTGATGTATCACGACGATGATAGGGTAGTCCTCTTTCTTGTGATACAATCGTTGAACTTTCCGTATTACGTAAAGGATTACCGTCACCACTCGTCGTTAGTATGGGAGTTGATTGTGGTCTTGGAATTTGTTGTGTGGGATGTTTGATCATTTTTCCCTCAAAAGAACAAAATTTTTTATAAATTTTTTTTTTTTTGGTCAGAAAGAGTAGAATGTAAAAAGGGACTTTACAGAAATTATTAAATAAAAATTTCTTGCATGAATGGAAATGCGTAAAAAGGATATGACCATAAAAATATACCAAAATTAGAATGATCACTGCGCTACAAAGCCAAATAGGTGAATTTCGATGGATTCTTATAGTAAAACTGTGACAAGATGAACAAATAGTGAGTCATCTGAGCTCGAAAGTATTTCATAAAAACGTCCAAGTTGACCGCAGCAGGGAAATTAAAGATTTAACGTAAAGTGTAACGTTCACTTACCGCTTATATATTAATAATAAGAACCAATTTTTTTGAAAAAAAAAAACCCCTTTTTCTACGCCTTCTTTAATAATAGCATGTCCACAAAGTTAAACTTTATTCTTTTAGAATGTTTTGATAAGATATTTTTTTATTTTGAAAAGGACCAAAGAGCGTTATACACGTTTCTTTTCGTAAATCGATTTTGGTGTAGAATTATAATTCCATTCTTATGGAGACATCCATTTTCATGTACATCAAAAGGAAAGGAAATCAATACGTTATTATCCTTGCTCAATCCTGAAGAGAGGTTAGGGATTATCAATGATCACGATAACATTAAATTATCACCTCCTTCGACATTGTTTAATTATGCATCATATATTCAAGATTACAATAATGTTGAACTTTTTCAATCGATTGAAAGTTGGTACGAAACTTTTTATGACATTTATTATTCGGCTGAAATTCAAATCATCTTTAATGCGTTTACAAAATTAATCATGAGAAATTCAAAAATCATTAAAAACCTTTCGCTCTTACACATTCATAAATCAATATATCATGACATCCCCGAGATTTCCATCTTTGTCAACTCTCAACCTGGGTTTATAAACATAAATAAATTCGAGTTAAACACTTCCTTTATAACTCCTCACGTATTTGACCTTTTGGTCTCACTTAAAGAAATTTCTCATAATATTCAAGATTTAAAAATCCATGGAAGTAGCATGATAGATAAAAAAAAGATTGATTTAATTATTCAGTTAATCAAGGCACAACATAATTTATCCTTTGTTTGGTTACATAGGTTTGGTTTGGAGTTCACTTCTATCCTTGAAACTTTAACATCAATTCAATCAAATTCGTTAACCACCTTAAAGTTAACCCGAATTTCTAGACATATATCACTTTCCTCGATTCAACGATTCAAGAATTTACGAAATCTTTATCTGCGTGATTGTGATGGTTTAGGTCAAAATTTGCTTGATAATGTTTCAAAAGTGGATTTCAATTTAAAATCATTGGAATTGGATCGTATGACAGAACAATTTCTTCAATCTATCTTGAAATTACAAAATGAAAATTTACAAAAGATTTCCTTTTATCACAATACATCGCTGAAAGTAATTCAAGACTTTTTTATTAGATGCTCACATATTTCTAATATAAAGGTTAGAGGAAGACAATATCAAAAAGGGTTCATTTCATCGTTATCGGTGTTAGAAAGTAGTTTAACCTCTTTCTCCATTTATTTTAATTCTTCTCGTTTATATCAGATTTTTGATGAATTATGTAATATTTCTTTGCCCAAATTAACTTTTCTTGATATTGAAATGCCTAAATCCGCTAGTCTCTTGGAATCTTATTTAAGGATGACATCTTCACCTTTACGAACAATCATTCTTCATTTCAGTTATAAGATTAGTATGGAATATATTAATATTTTATTAAAATTTTCCAAGAGGAAGACTTTAAGAATTGTTGGAATTAGCCTAAAATCTGATGAGAAAAAATTTAAAGAATTTTCAAAGATTACTGAAGGGTGCTTTCAAATTGTTGATTCATGGGATATACAGTAGATTTAAATAATTAAGAAATTTCATGAAATACTTTTTATTATTAAAAAATTAAAATTAATTAACGTTAATAAATAAATTAAAAACAAAAAAAAAAAAAATTTTTATAATAATCATAAAGGTTATTAAACATGCCAATGACGATAGTGTTGTAAAGTTTCGGAGGGACTACCATCAAAAGGATAAATTAATGGTATGCATTCAATCACCTTATTTCTATCAACAGAAATCATATCATCGGGTAAAACAGTAACTACATTATGCTTTGAACCCTTTAAATGATGACAGGCTTCGTGATAATTAAAGTGTTCACTTTGACATAATTTACACATGAATATTTCACATTTCTCACAACCAAGACTCAATGCACCAAAAACTGTCGTGATCGGACCAGATTTAATTTGACCAGGTAATCTTCTCAACTCTTGAGCTTCATCACGAAGTTTTTGTATAAGATTACTTGATAAATATTGATCATCCCATGGAATCCTGGGATCATTATTGAAAAAGGGAGGATTTTGATAGGAAGGACACCACCTGATACATCCAATCAAAGGATCCGAAACCGAAATCCCATTTCCCAGAAGTGCGTTTTCATGAACCGATGATGTCGTCAATAAAGTTAGTATGGCATTACATATTTGAAGTCTTCTTCGTTGTTTCATTAATTCTTCATATTCAACGATCATTGCACGCTTCAATACTTTCCAATCCTTTTGCACAAAAGGTTCTCTCGAAAGTTGAAATGCATCATCACAAGATTGTAAATTCCAAATCCATCTATCAAGATACTTTGAATTACCATCAGGCAACCTTTCTTCCTTTAATTCATGAATGATCCTCTCAAATTGTCGTTTATCCTTTTTACGAAGTGATAATGACAAAAGATTTTGATCTGAACGTCTTTTTTTATAATTTTCCATAATTTTCTGTGCCGTTAATTTCTTCTGTCCTATCCATTCGGCTTGTTTTTCGGGATTACTATTCCTTAGCTCTTTTAATTCTCTACATGCTGCGATCACATCACGATGCCAATATATGCAATCTGGTCCCCTTTCCATATAGGGTAAACAATTATAAACATCCACGAGAAACATTGCCTCACTTGGTAGGTCCCGATGACTTTAAAAAAAAAAATTTTTACCTTCAATAAAAAAGATTATTTCATTTTATTAAAAAAAAAAAAAAAAAAAGAAAAAGGTTTTACCTTACGATCCTTTTACTAAAACATTTTTTGCAACTTCTTACACGAAAAACCCAATAAACCTTACAAACCTTACCTTTACAAAATTGACAACCTTTTTCAATTAATCCTAATCTCATGTATGATTGTTCATTCATATCAGAAAAAGGAGCTAATTGTAATTTTGGTAAGAATTTCTTTCTGGAAGTACACCAAATCTCTCGTGTACTTTTTGAGGTAGTTGAACTTAGCCAACACCTAAATTGTTTACAAACTTCCATTAAAGAAAATAAATCGGTCGGAGACAAATAACGACATATTTCAATAAAAATCTCAACAGGAACCGTATTAGCGGTAATAGGTAACGATGTTGAACAACTGATGGAAAAGTTCGTATTCGGTGATATAATTGGATGTAAATGTTGAGACATATTCGAATTTTCGCTAAACTTTAATGTAATAGGTCAAAAAAAAAAAGAAATAGAGGTTTGTAATTTACTCCTTTTTATAGAGATTCTCAAATTGGTAAGCTTGATTGTGATAATCAACAGAAATTTCTTGGTAGTATGAATCTTTGTGTCACCGACGATAATCTTAGTTGCGAACGATTTTCCACGCACGAGGAACCTCAATGTATATGTCAAAAATTGAAAGATGATTACATAATCTGGCTTACGCATTGTCCTATACGGTTGGTGTAACCAATCCTTAATTCTTTTTTTTTTTTTTCTTTAAAACAAAAAGATGGAATCTTTTTTATCTCAATATGGGATATCATTAAAAGAGGATGAACAGAAATATCGTTCAATAATCTCCAATAAAATATTCCTCGCAGGATCAACAATAATCATTTCATATCCTTTAGCCTCTTTCCCACTGTCAACATTTAATAAATTCAGATGCGATCAATGTTTAAAAACGAGTAACGATTCTACACCTTTACGAACGTGTTCGAAATGTCAGTGCGTTTACTATTGTAGCAGATCCTGTCAAAAATCTTCATGGGTAACGCATCATAAATGGTTATGTTCCAATTACACGAAATCAAAAGGTGCGGAAGATAACGATGAAGAGATGTTAAATAGGGTTTCGATACTAATTGATAAATTCCTTAATGATGAGAAATTGGATAATAAAGGTTATCTGTTTGAGACATTTTTCCAATTAATGACTCATAGAAACGATGATCATGTTATGAATTTGATAAAATTCGAAAGGATTTCCACCAAGGTTCATGAAATTTTAAAATTCAAAAAGGTTACAAAGGATGACTTAATTAATCATTTATGTAGATTTCATTGTAATAATTTCACCATACATGACAGTCAACTATTCATCTACGGAGAAGGAACGTACGTTAATCCTCTCGTGAAGAGAGAACAAAATCATATCTCGAACCTTTTATTAACGTTAACATTATCATCATTAGGTATCCGATCGGGTCATTGTTTAATCATTCTTGTCGGCCAAATGCAATCGTAATGTACGATGGAGCAATACAAATAATTAAATGCATTCAAGATATAAGTATCGGAGATGAAATTAATATTTCTTATGTTGATGTGGCATTAGATCGGGCAACTCGACAAAAATTATTACGGGAAAAGTATTTCTTTAAATGTCAGTGCCCTAGATGTTCTTCAGATGAGCCACATTCTGGAATTTTAACTAAAATCGATCAATTGATCGAAGGGGAAGAATGTGAAACCACAAAACAAGGTTCCAACAATGAGGAAATAACCACATTGATATTATCCAATTTATTACCACACTTGAAAAATAATACGACCAAGACGGATTATATAAATTCTTTGTATGAGATAATTTCAACGTTACTTGAGCAAAATCATCTATTTTATATCTCGTCACTTTCATCCACGACAAAATTATTTTATGATCAAATAGATTTAAAACGATGGAATCAGTCAACAACTCTTGGAAAATACATCCTTTCTATTTATTTATTGATTTATCCTAGGTATCATCCAATAATAGCTCTACATTTGTTTACTTTAGGAAAGTGTTATTGGAATGATATAACCGGCGGTTTTGAATCTGTTAAGGAAGCCATTAATATTTTGGAATGTGCTAAAAAAGTATTAAATATTACACATAATGAAGGTGATGAAAATAAAGATGTAATTAAACAAGTGAATGATTTATTGATTATGGCGAAGAAGGAAGTATCTTATTAATAGCCCAGTCGGGACGAAATTTATCTTTTCATGTTTGAAGGAATAAAACAAAATGTAGGATATTAATTTCATGTTAAGCGTATAAAACGTATAGTACCCGGGTACTTGAAAATTTCTTTTGATTAATAATGTTATCAACCCTAATTTATCCATGTTTATACATAGAATGAGTTTCCAAATACTGCAATAACTATATTACTGTATAAGAGATCCTCGGTCGGATATGAATTTATCCCACGGATTAATAATGCGTTTTTTACTTATAAAATGTTTTGTATCTCGAAAAAAGTATATAAAACCGTGTTTTTTATTTTTAAAATCGAATTATAGATCGTAGTTATTACATAAAGTTACATCGTAAATATTATAAAATGTGCAAAATTAAAAAAGTCTAATAAAAAAAAAAAAGGATAAGAAATTAATTATTCTTCTATTAAAAAAAAAAATATCGTTTTCACTGTATTTACTTCTTTTTCATTAAAGTTTGCTTATTAACTAATTCATAATATAAACCTTGTTGAGAAATTAGTTCCATATGATTACCACTTTCAACAATTTTACCTTTCTTGCAAACTAAAATTAAATCGGCATTTTGTATGGTGGACAATCGATGTGCAATGGTAAGTGTAGTTCTACCTTTAGAAGCTTTATCTAAAGCATTTTGTACTACCTTTTCGGACTCGGAATCTAAAGCTGATGTGGCTTCGTCAAGTAATAATAACTTTGGTGAACGAATTAATGCCCTCGCGATAGCAACGCGTTGCTTTTGTCCCCCCGATAATTGTGTACCTTTTTCTCCTACTCTCGTGTCATATTTATCAGGCAAACTCATAATAAAGTTATGAATATTTGCCCCTTTTGCCGCTGTTTCAATTTCTTCTTGTGAACACCCATCTTTACCATAAGCAATGCTTTCTCTTATTGTTGAATCAAATAATACAGGTTCTTGTCCTACTAATGCAAGGTTTGATCTCAAATATTCAAGGTTCCAATCTTTTATATTAATCTTTTCTATATCGACTTTTCCTGAGTTAACATCATACCATCTTAGCAATAATGATATGACTGTTGATTTTCCCGATCCTGATGATCCAACTAATGCAATCGTTTTACCAGCTAGAATTGACATATCCAATCCTTTAAGAATATGTATATCGGGCCTCGCCGGATAATTAAAATGCGCTCTTTCAATCCTTGCTTCACCTGTAACTGGCGTAGGTCTATCTTTTCCTTCGGTATCTGATACATCAATTTTTGATTCACGATCAAGAATTTCAAAAATTGAAAGTGCCGCAACCTTGGCTTTTGCGGTATTTGGTGCGAATGTACTATTAAAACAAAATAATAATCATCATAAAAAAAAAAAATTGTTAAAAATTCCGTGATTATTTCCTAGGGTAAAGACGCTAAATAAACATCATAGTTGCCTCATTTGTCCAACTGCCATTGCGGAAAAGACAACGGCAAAGAGCACACTAAACATGTTTTTCCTATAAGAATTAAAAAAATATAAGCAGGAATTAATTAAAAAAATTAAATACAAATCAACAATGTCGCAAAAATTACTTACGTTTCGTATTCTCGACTAATAATTAATTGTCCTCCATACCAGAAAGCAAGAGACC